TTGTCGATTACCATTTCACCGTCGACGAGAGTATCATAAATGTGAGTGTTCAAGTCATCGCGACAGGGGAATCGAATGCCGGACACTTGGAAGCAGGAGTTATCACGATCAAAGAAGTAGATTTCATCCTTTTGTTTGATAAGCATCATGTATCGCGTACCATCTGCCTTCCACGATACACGATATGGTTTTTCGCCCAATAGTCGCAAATTGTTCATATCCATTGAGACAGGTTGCGAGCCAGGGAAGCCACTTTTTTCAAATTTGCACATTTTTTGAATGGTTTCTTGTAAATCGCCTAATCGCGGCTGTTATAATGAAAGCATTGGAGATGAATACCATTGAAAATAGACAAATATAATGGAACAACTCCGTTGAATCTGTCTTATTTCGAAACGAAATGAAAATACACATACCTGATCAATAACAAGTTTCACACCTTGTACGCCAGCCATGAATGTTGCATTCAAATTGAGGAATTCCTTCCGTCGCTTCTTTTTTGGCACACCTTCGGCGCTGGTACTACTTTCGCCATCTTTTGGTTCATCAGTTTCATCGTTGGCCGCGCTATCTGGTTCACTTGAGGTTGATCCATTTTCAAGTCTTCGTTTGCTTGGTGTCGTACTTTGTTGCTCAGTATAACTATAACTATTATCGTGGCTTTGTTCGCCATCGCCGTCGCCATCACCATCACCGTCATCGTATTCTGTTTGGAGACGTATCGAAATTATGGTTACATCACATGAAACAAAGAATTTGACATCGTTAAGCATTCGAATACGGAATTGCACCTACCTAAGCACCAATCGGGCCGCTCTGGAGCCGCGATTGCGTCCTCTTCGTCTTCGTAGCGTCTGTAAATTAAGAATGCATTAAGTAAAACCGCTTAACCAAAAGAGGGAAACAAGACAATAGTTTCCGGGGCAAATTTCTACCTGAACAATTCATTTATGTAGTCTTGTTTGTAAATGCCTGGTGGCCGGTCGAACGCAAATTCCCGAAGGGCTGCGTCAACGGAGCAGTCCATTCGTTCGACCATGTATGCAACAATTAAGAAACCCGTTCGATTGAAGCCATGCGTACAGTGTACACCGATGTATTCCAATGGATGCTGATCCATGAACGTATCGACAATCTCGATGAATGACTGTGTTTGTTCAACCGACGGCGTTTCGCCGTGACCACGACATTTCAATTTGAAATATTGACAATCGCGGCTTTCAATATCGCGTCGATCATAAAAACGTGTTGTGTTTGTCAAATCAATCCAAAGTCCGAGCTTCTTCTAAACACCAAAACCAATTGGCATAGAGAGAGAGAGATAGAAAGATAAGAGCACATATAGAGAAGTTTCGCTTCATTTTCACAGTCATATCAGGCAAGATTGGGGAAATAATTTCGAAAGAAAAAAAAATTATGTGTTGACGTATCAAGATTTACTTCAGAAGAGATTAATGACGACGCAAGTGAAAGCCACTTTAGGCATTGCAAAGTATTTCATGTTCTTTTCTCATTCAATCGTACGTAAGTGAAGAGATGGGGTTTTGTATGCGATGGTTACCTTTTCCGATTTCATGTAGCTGAAGACCATGTCTGGTGTGAAGAAGTGTTGTGGCTCCATTTTTGATGCAAAACGAAGGCTCAACGGGGTTTTGAATGCGAAAAATTTGTGGGCAATAAATGATTTGGCTGTGCGTGGACAATGCAGCCATCGGTCGGGTATTGGGCCCGGATCTCGATCATCGCTCCCATGACCATTGCTATTGTGGCCACCATAAAACCGACTGTTATCCATTGAGATCCCACAATAACGCGAGCACTCAAACTTATCTCGAATACTTTGCTGCTTGCACCAGTTTTCAATTTTAGACAACAACTCTTTTCAAAAGTAAATCATATACTGAAACTAGTGACAGTTTATGGTTTCTCTCTTGCACACATTCGTATGTTGTGCTACGGAATGAACTGTCACTTTTGTCTAATGTGTCGTTCACATTGACATATATTGCGAGCCATCTCTCCTTTTTTGTTCACTCCCCTTCTCCCGACTCTTTCTTCTTGTTGTTTTTTTTGGTTTTTCCGTTTCAAAATTGGATGCTACCATAATATTTGTTAAAAATTCCACTTCACAGCAAACGAGAACAACAACAGCAAGAAGAATGATTCTCCATGGAAATTGGTTGTAATGAAAAAATATTTGCAGATATTTTATTTTTGTAATTTTTATTGCAAATTTGATTATTTTACTGACTTTATGCCGAATGATTCGGCCCGAGTCAGTTATTTATTACAGTTTAGAACAAAAGGCGTACTAATGAACGAACAATCAATAAATTACTTCCTCAATGTATTTCAAGTGATGATGAGTGCTTGGATGAGATTTCCCATGAAATCCCAACGAAAAAAAAAACATTCGTACTATAAAAGAATGAGAAGGT